GGGCTCTTATAAATGTGAGGCCTAAAGTAGGTATTTTACCTACTTTAGGGAAGGCCGCTCCTGAGCAATAACAACGTATTTGCAGTTTATAGCACATGATAAATTAATTACTTGAACCATGAATGCACTAGCAAATTTGCCTGCCCCGTGTTAATTTCGGCTGCCTAACCTAAAGCAATTAGCCAATGTATAGGAAAAATGTGAGCCAAGCACGAATGAGTGAAGCAAATTATTAGACGTAAGGCACATAACTTTGGACCCAACTATAATCGTAAATAAAGTAGGTTAAGTCAGAAATCTACGTCCAAAAGATATGCAAACTCGAGCAGGAAGAACATTCACTGCATTTAATCAAGTTAGGAGGACAATTGATTAATTAATAGTTATGTTAGTAGGTGCCAATATAAACTATAGTATAATTAATCGTTTCTCCGTCAAAAACATAACTCGTAGAGTAACCGTTAATACAAATAAAAAAATACCTATTAAATTGAGATAATGGTAAAAGTTAATACATAATAAGAAGAATGATATACAAATATTCATTTGGTGATTAATAAAATTGTTTGTTACCAAAAAAATGACACATAAAATTTACAGATTTAGTGCATACACATAGACGGAGCTAGCCTATCGTGTACGGGTTCGGCCGAACCAAGTTACTTTTGCTTAAAAATTATATTTATTTTAGGAAATTTATTAAATATGTATAAATATTAAATTGCGAACCTTGTAACTAGGACGAGCTATGAGTTCTGTAGGAAATTCAGAACTCATAAATTTCAAATTTGCCTTACTTTTGACCACTAGGCCACTCTCCCCTTCCCAGGCCGAGCCCCCCTTCAATGGGTTCTAATTCTAAGAAGGGGGGTGGTGCCCTAAATCAATCAAAAAGCTTATTGATTTAATTGAAGGGAACTAAGACGATTAGTTTAGCTTGCGTTCCGGGAGAATCTAGTCATTTAGTCAGTTCATAACTATCTCTGTAAAGCAAGGGGTAAAGCTTCTACGAAAGCTTCCCCCTCATATAGTCGTCGGCCTTCCCCAGCCCCACCTCATCGCTTCTGGCGAAGCTACGAGTTCATGAGCAAATGAATGAAGGAGCCATATTCCTAAAAGAAAATGACCCTCTTTGTTTTCTCTTCTTCCTCTATCCCTTCAAAGCCTTTGTATAGGTTGGGCGCTAGCGCTTTACTAATATAATAAAAAGTCAGGCTCTTCTGCTGAGCGAAGCTGCGAGCCTACTTAAATATAGCTTACGCTTACCAAGCCTAATCTACAAAAATAGGGCTANGAAAAATAGGGTTAGAGCAAGCAAAGCAAGCTTTCCCCCTTCATTTGTTATGGGTCGCGCCTCACCGCAGGTACTAAATAAATAAAATGAGTGGAGATCCTCCTCCCCCCTTGCTAATTACCAAGAACTTCGTTGCCACTAGTAAATTAGACCATCCCCAAAAAAGAACTCAGAGCCTAAAGAGAAGAGAGTTCAGTCTACAAGAAGCTGGCAGAGCTTTAGCCATTGGGACACATCTATCTATCCTAAAAAGTAAACCTTTTCTTGTTCGTTCTTCGAATGACGCTAGTGGAGACTAATTCCTTCCGGCTAATGAAGATACTACTCCAGTCTTTCCAGTGGATCCTTCTTATCCCTAAGAATGGAACGAACCAAGTTAACCTATACGAGAGTGAGGAATAAAAACCAACAATCAACTTACCGCTTTTGATGTCCCACGATTCTGCTAGTTTAGAAACAAAGGAGAAGGACAGGGGTCGCTAGGTCAGAAAAGCGATAACTAAAAANTAACTTACCGCTTTTGATGTCCCACGATTCCGCTAGTCTAGAAACAAAGGAGAAGGACAGGGGTCGCTAGATCAGAAAAGCGATAACTAAAAATTCTCCCCAAGTAGGATTCAAACCTACAACCAATCGGTTAACAACCGACCGCTCTATCACTGAGCTACTGAGAAACAACGGACTTAAAGCGGGATAAATCTTTCTGTTAGATTTCAACTTATTTACTGGAAGCTAAGGTCCTATTTAATATTGGGAATATTAAAATTTAGGAGGGGGACTTGGTTAAACAAATCACGAGTACGTAAGCAACATATGATGTTCTTTCTCAAGTGGAAAGTAATAAAATATTTTTGACACGCTAGAAAGATTCGAAGATACATATGAAAACCTATATTGCAAAAGAGTTTGATATACCTTTCAGGTTGCCCAGTTGGTTTAGAAGGTCCTAACTTGGGATCGAATCCTCACTCAATGCCTTCTGAGTTGAGCCTGGCTTGTCTAGTTTGATTTACATCCCATGTGTGATTTGCGGGCTATTACACATGGGGAGGTTTACCCAATGCGTACAAAGTGTTCACGCGAAGGGCAGAGATTATAGCGGCTACGGATTTCCCTCTTAAAAAAAAAAAAGAGTTTGATATTTTTTTTAAGTACATCTACAAGTACAACATACGTGGAAAAGGTACAAAATCCCTCCTTCTCTCTAAAAAATTATATCTTTTACAATGCTAAAAATTTATTAGTGGATATTGATTAATGATTAATGATTCCAAAACTGTCCATAAGTAGTTTATCGGATATAAAAAAAAACAAAAAGAAACAGAGCATATTAGATGGGGATAAAGCTCCCGTTAAAAAAGGACATAGATTTTTTAATATATTTTTCAAAAATAAAAAATAAAAAAATTATTTGTTCATGAAATTTGATCAGTTTCTTTTTTAAAAAATTCAATTTTCATAATTAGTTTGGGTGAAATTTTTTCTTTCACTCACATAACTTTATGATTTTTTCAAGTAAAATATATGTTCAAATACTACTTCAAGTTCCAAAAAACTATTTTTCAACGCATTTTTTTTTTGTATTTTAAATTTCAACATAATCTATGTCCAAACGCTATCAAAATATGTATTGTTTGTACTAACTTGCATAGATGTGTAAGTCTTAGGGTGAGAGTGAGAGAGAGATATTGATTGAGTGCAAAGCTATATATTTTTACAAATTGAGACAGTTGATAGAATAAAAAAACAGGGCTAGCTATCACAATACAAATTAAATTATTTATTTGTTCCATTTATATATCACTATTTTCATCTTAAAATGTTTCAAAATATTTGACATTATTTGATATAAATACAATTTTACGACTTTCAAAATTAAATACAACTGACCAATCAAATTGAACCTTGATATGATATTTTTATTTATTAAAATATCTTATGAGTTTATTATTCTTTTTATTAATACAATATGCATGTTATGAAATTGACTAATCCTGTTGAAACGTCTTATCGATCCAAACTTATATCGACTAGAGTTCGAATTTTTAGGGACCAAAATTCCCTTTGCTAAAGGTCTATCTATTTTTAGTGAGACATGTCCTCCTTATATTGATCATGTTCATTAGCTTTTATGTGATGTGAGCTTTAACTTGTGAATAAAGACAATTTGTAACGGTACTGTTGAATTTAATTATGAGATTAAGGCCAATCCTTTTCCATCCATGTGCTATGTATATATATTCTTAAAACAACAACCGCAACAATAAAAAATCTAATATAATCTTATGTGTGTGATCTAAAAAAAGTAGTGTGTACGCAGCCTCACCCCTATCTTATTGAGATAGAGAGACTGTTTTCACCCTCGGCTCAAAAAAGCATAAAGCACCACATTAATAAAGAGAGAAACACGAAACACACCAAACGAGAAGCCGAGATAAAATGTTGTTTGTGTACATTATATTATGGTAGCGAAAGAAAAATACTAGAGTGATAATTGGAAATTAGCGTGACTATGAAAACATGATCAGATCAAAATTTTAAAAATTTCACAGTTAAAGAGCAATTTGAATCATGAAAGCTGTATAAAACAGTAACAGGGCAATTTGATTTGACCATTGAATCAAATCAAACTTATTTTCAGAAACACAAACTTCAAATGTACCTTCTTTCCCTTACTTTTTGTCTATGTTCATTTGTCCCCCTTTTATTTTGGTTGAGGAAAGTTACAAAAATGGTCCTTTATTTTAGGGGTAGGTTAAAATAGTCTCTTAAATAATTTTGATCCTTTAAGTTTGTCAAAAGGAATTTTTTTTTGTTGCTATTAAATATTTAATATACTTTAGTTGTTAGACTCACTGTGTTTTTTTTTTTAAACTAGAAACACCGGGACTCCCGTCAAATGCCAAAAAAACTAAAACGCAAAAACTTGCACCAAATACTAGAAATACATACTAAAAAAATTATAAATTAAAAAAATTTGCACCATCAAATGTAGGTTTCTGTTAAATTTATTAAATCTAACTGTTAGAATTTGCGAAGTATTTTACAGCGATAGAAAATGCTCCCCTTAACAAGCAGATCAAAACTGCTTAAGGGTATTAGGAACTTATTTTGAACCTACCCAAATAGTGGACCATTTTTATCATTTTCTCTTCTTTGTTGTTTGTCATTAAAGAAATACAAGTTTTTATTTTTGCTGGAAAATTCGTCTCTAATTTTCCCAATAAAAAGAAATTCCTAGCCGGTTTAAGTTTAAACCGGTTCTGCACTCTGTACTCTTCGGCCTTCGCCCACTTCCAGTAGAACACTGCTTAACGAGCTTCGTCAGATCTATTTCTCACTGGAAGAGTGAAAATTCAACAACTCCTCGCCATTAGCCATGGCGATTAGAGCTTTTCTTCTCCTACTAATCTTATTCTCTTCGTCTTATTATGCCGTCGCTCTTTATGAAGATCAAGTTGGCCTCATGGACTGGTAAATTTAACTTTAAAATTTGCATAAATATGCATTGAATTTATTGGCGATATTGATAGTTGAACTGGTGGAGCTTAATTTGTGTCAAATAGTATTAGAATGAAATTAGCTCGAATAAAGGGAAATAGTAATTAATTTGAGATTGATGCTTAGATGATTGATTAATTGTCGAGCAATTATTTATGCAGGCATCAACAATACATTGGAAAAGTGAAAAACGCAGTTTTTCAAACCCAGAAGGCTGGTAGGAAGCGTGTTGTAGTATCTACCGAAGAGAATGTCATTGCTTCGCTGGATCTTCGCCACGGCGAGATTTGTGAGTTGATTATGTTCTGGTCACATAATTCAATGCTAATTATATTCAATTTGATGCAAATTTATTACATTAGTACTTTGTTTATTTAATGGCATCTTGTGGAGGAAATTTGATCTTTTGACTTCGTTTTATATCTTGTTATGTGCAGTTTGGAGGCATGTTTTGGGGGACAATGACACCATTGATGCGATTGATATCTCCATGGGAAAATGTAATAACTTTGTATCATCGTCTGTTTGTTTTTGTTTTTCACTTATTACTAATTGGTTGATAATTGGGATTTCTATTTTTAATAGTACATGCATTGCTGAATAAACTCGTTTGCTTGTATCTCGAACAAGCACACACTTACACGTAACATGCAGCTCTAGAAAGTTATAACTTATAAACTCTCCTTTTGTATCATGTGGGAAGTGTTTTTTTTTACAAGACAAATTATGAAATCAGTCAATTCATGCCTTAAGGTGTTCATCTAACCATTTGAACTAACCTTAAGTGTGCACACCTCCAATATCCACCAGTGGATTTACTTGGCATAAGCACGGAACGAGTTCTCAAGTAGCACTTGAGTGTGTAGTAGGTGTCTCCTCACTATAGCATGTCATTAAACTGAATGAGAAAGAGATTTAATTTAAACCTAGGAATAGAAATAGAATGCAAAGACGATTCAAAGGCGTAATCGGATGATAAAAAACAATGATAACTCAGAAAGGTATAAATAGGAGAATATTACGAGAAAAACGAATACCTCTTCAAACTGCCACCATGGAATATGGACAGGTCAAGTCGGCAGAGAAGAAAGATATGATGCTAGGCACAAATCCTCTGGGCCTCAGGTGGTTGGCTGGCGATGATGATAGTGGTGGTTCTGTGGGAGGAGATATAGGAGAGGTAATAATAGAATGTCCAAAAGGTGGTGCAGGCAAAACTTTAGAGAAGTCAAGATGGTCAGAAGAAGAAAAAGGTGTGAAGTAAAGGTTAAGATAGCAAACATAATGCGTGATGAACATTCGGTGACTAGCAGATGACATCCTTTCTCGACATCCCTTCGGATTGTTTATGCCAGACCTAGTAGCTACAATTTTTGGTTATTATTCTTTATTAAGAAGTACACTTTCTAATTTATTTGATTGTATTTGCTAATAGCTTGAGGAAAATGATTAAAAATTAGGGCTCTGTCACTTTCTTTCTACACAAGTCAAATGGGTAATATTGGAAGTCGAAATTTGGACCTTCTGCTCTGTTTTCTTTTAAGAATAAGAACATGATAGATACAAGCATTCTAATAAATGCAAGTGTAAATTCTACTGTGGTTGAACATTCACTATGTGTCTATTAACTTAGTTTTCTCTTTAAGAAAGTTTCTTGTCTTCATCACGCGATTATTCCGATCCGAACTTCTTTGCGTCTATTTTTAAGTTGGAATTTAATAAGTAGTAATGACGAAATATTCTGTTGGCTACGGTAATTGTTGCAACACTCTATTTTGTTATCAAAATAATATTTTTGGGTATACTTATAAAAAATATCTGGTATCGAAATTAAATGCTACTAGTTACCAGGCCATTTATCTCTTTGCAGATGTTATCACCCTATCATCAGGGGGAAGCATTTTAAGAGCTTGGAACCTTCCTGATGGCCAGATGGTGTGGGAGTCGTTCCTTCGTGGATTAAAGCCCTCCAGGTCATTGTTATTGACTCCAGTAAGTGCAGAATTTTATTTCACTATTTTTTCCTCTTACAAGCATTCTTGATATGTATAGAGCATCAAAATTGTACACTTTTCACTGCTGCAGTTAGACACAATTTAAAGTGTTAGCACCTTTAAGTAAAATACTTGAAGAAATGTGATTTCCATGTTAGCTTAAGGCCAGAAGTGAACACCATTGATGGACAAATCTTCTGTTTTCTTTTTCCAGACGAACTTGAAAGCTGACAAGGACAATGTGATTCTTGTGTATGGCAATGGCTACCTGCATTATCTTTCGAGCATTGATGGTGACATTCTCTGGAAGATGGATTTATCACATAAAGGGTTTGCAACTTACTGCAAATCATATTGTGTCTTCCTGTTTAATCTTAAAAAATGTTGATCATATATGTGCTCCTTCCATTGCAGCGTTGACATTCAACATTTGATTCATCCGGAAGGAAGTGAGACAATATATGCTATAGGAGTGAGTGATTTGTCCCAGTTTGAAGCATATATAATCAATGCTAGGAGTGGTGAACTGCTGAAGCACAGCAGTATGTCATTTCCTGGTGGATTTTCCGGTGATATATCTCTGGTCGCAAGTGACAAAGCTGTGGTGCTGGACTCTTCTGGGTCAATTTTAGTCTCTATAAGCTTCATTGAGGGAGAAATAAAATTTCAGCCGGTGAACATTGCCAATCTTGTTCAGCACATCTCAGGCTCGGCAGTGCTATTGCCTTCTAAACTTGCAGGAATGGTCGCTGTGAAAATTGGGAAATCTTTGTCATTCATCAAAGTTACCAATGAAGGCAGATTGGAGGCGGTAGATACAATTCCTCATGTTGAAGCTGTAAGTGATTCTTTGCCTTTTTCAGAAGGCCAAAGCGGTTTTGGGCTGATTCAGCATGATGGTACCAAGATTCATCTCACATTAAAGACTGGTAATGATTGGAAGAGCCATTTACTTAAAGAAAGTTTCAAAATAGACCAACATAGGGGACTTGTCCATAAGGTTTTCATCAACAACTATATCCGGACAGACCGAACATATGGATTTAGGGCTTTGATTGTCATGGAAGACCATTCACTGCTATTGATGCAGCAGAGTGAGATTGTTTGGAATAGAGAAGATGGACTTGCATCTATTATAGATGTTACAACCTCAGAATTGCCTGTAGAGAAGGATGGGGTCTCTGTCGCAAAAGTGGAGCATAGCCTCTTTGAATGGCTCAAGGTACAAAGCTCCTAGAACTGTTTCAAATTTAAGTTTATATAGAAGGCATCATAGCTTTTGATTCATAATTTTTCATATAAATACACAAATGTCATTGTTATTTTGACAAAATGTATGTTGATCCCTAACAATAAAAAAAGGTATGTTGATCCTTGATACTTTAGCTTCCTTTTTTTCGAAGACATTATTTTGGACCTTATGTTTAACTCCCTTATGAGTTGGTCATAACATCTTAATCATCTATTTGTTAATTTTAAGGTCGTAAGATTGGGAAAAAATTTATAATGAATCTTTTTTACACTTCTTATCCTTGATATAGAAACATAACAATGGAAGTGGTACTTATGGTCTATGATCTCTGTTGCAGTGTTTGTTTAATTTGATGATATCTTTGACACTGATTTTCTATTTTGTTGTACCTGACTGTGTGTCTTCTATCTCGTTCTTTTGTTGCAAGGGACATCTGCTGAAACTTAAAGGGACCCTAATGCTTGCCACCCCTGATGATATAGCAGTGATTCAGAGACTGAGGTTACAAAGTGCTGAGAAAAGCAAGATGACTCGAGACCACAATGGGTTTAGGAAGCTACTCATTGTACTTACGCGAGCAGGAAAACTTTTTGCTATTCACACAGGAGATGGGAGAATTGTTTGGTCTCTCTTACTGAATGCTTTTCGTAAATCAGTGACATGTGAAAATCCCAGGGGGCTCAAGATACATCAGTGGCAGGTGCCCCATCATCATGCATTAGATGAGAACCCATCAGTCCTTGTGGTTGGCACTTGTGGACTTAATTCAGATGCATCTGGAATTCTCTCTTTTGTTGATGCTTACAAAGGAGTGGAGCTTAATTACATAGCACCTCATCATTCTATTTCACAAGTTATTCCACTGCCATTTACGGATTCCATCGAGCAGCGCCTGCATCTGCTAATAGATGCTGAGGGGTATGGCCACCTGTATCCCAAAAATCCTGAGGCAATTAGCATTTTTCAGGAGGAGTTGGGAAACATATATTGGTACTCAGTTGAAGTAAATAGTAATGTCTTAAGGGGACATGTGGTGAAGAAGAATTGCGTACCTGAGATAGGTGATGACTATCGTTTTGAATCCAGTGACCTTTGGTCTGTTGTATTCCCCTCGGATTCAGAAAAGATCATTGCAACATCAACAAGAAAACTAAGTGAGGTATTCTTTTGCGTTTTTCTTTATTCTTTTAATATCAATTGAAAATATTTGCTGCTGATGGCTAAGCTATGATTGGAGGCTGGTTCCATTACATTTCTAATGTTTAACTGGGTCTGAGGAGAGACATTGATGGACCCCGTGACACTCTTTCCTGTTTCCTCTTTTTTTCTTTCGTGAAATATATACCCCTTCATCTTTCAGATTGGGTTTACTAGCTAAGCTATCATGTAATGGTTTGGTTGCTTTATAACGTACTTCTAATTTTATATGTGAATCGCCAACAAGTTTCTGGTTGAGACAGAGTTGATTGATATATATGAATATTTGCAATTTACTTTGTATTCTCTTTTTAGTTATCTGTGCCTCATGACATTGATCTTATTGGTGAGTGGCCCTGGGCTGACCATCTGGATATGCTAGTCGGTTGGCTACAACCTCTCTCTTTCAGTTACTGGTGGGATGATAACATATGTTTTTTTGGTCCTATTGCATCTGATTTTACTCTAATTATCTGCTACATTGGAAGAGGATCTTGTAACTTCAGTACTAATAAAGCATCAGAAGATGGGCTGCTTAAGGGATGAGATGCTGGGAAAATATCAGAATTCTTTGGTATGAAATTAGAAGCTTGAAAGGTAAAAAGAATATGAGGATGATGGTATAATAGTTTTTGATGTAGAAAGGGATGGGATGAAGGAGGTCTCTAGGCTCATGAATCATGGCAGGATGAAATGCTAATTTTGAGAAATCTTGTCCAATTCTGGGAACAGAGAGGAAGAGGAAGTTAAATCCAGGCAATTTGTGAAGGGTCTTAATTCTTATACTTAATAGTTTGTGCAGCATGACTGTGTTAACTCGGAGATGAAGAATTCTTTTCATAGTATGATCAATGATGATAAGTTTGGTTCCCAAGGAAACTTGGGAGCCTAAACTTTCAGTTCACTTTCTGTTGACTCGTCTAAATCTCGGTTAATAGAGTCCATTCATCACCCAATTACATGAAAATTGATGTAAAGGAATCAAGTTTTTGACAAGCTATTAATATAGTCAAATGTAAATTATTAAAAGATCCCTGCAACAACAACAAATGCAGAAGTTATCTTGAGCACATAGTTTTTGTTTTTGGGACTTTTAGGTGGTTATCATGGTCCTTCGTCAGGTGTAGGTATTATTGAACCATATAATAGAAAAGAAATCACGTGCTTATGTAGCTCTAGTTTCTCACCAGGCCTTCTTTTAACCTATCCAGCTCTTGATGCTGAATTTGTAGAATGTAATACACTCTCTGATGTTATTCTTTCAGGTGGTTCATACACAAGCTAAGGTAACATCGGACCAGGATGTGTCGTACAAATATATATCTAAGAATCTTCTGTTTGTGGCCACTGTTACACCCAAATCTACTGGTGAGATTGGCTCAGTAATTCCAGAAGATTCCTGGCTGTTTGTTTATCTTGTTGACACGATAACTGGCCGTGTACTGCACCGGATGTCTCATCATGGCTCGCAGGGACCTGTCCATGCAGTAAGTTTACCTTGCTCTCCATGTATCAGCACTTGTGAAAATATTAGCAATTTAGAGTACTATCTTCACCATCTTTACTTTCAAATCAACTGAGCATTGTGACACATTTCTTTGTCTCTGAAGGTCTTTAGTGAGAATTGGGTTGTCTACCACTACTTCAATCTACGAGCACATAGATATGAAATGTCTGTCATTGAGATCTATGATCAGTCTCGAGCGGTACATTTTGCTTCCGAAATATATTTTTCTTGTTCTCTTTGGTCGTGCATTTTTCCATATTTGAATTGGTAACTAACTGTAGGACAACAAAGATGTGTTGAAGCTTGTGTTGGGAAAGCATAATCTCACAGCAGCTCTCTCTTCCTACTCACGTCCTGAAGTGATAACTAAATCTCAATCGTACTTTTTCCCACACTCTGTGAAAACAATGGCAGTGACGGCAACAGCAAAAGGCATTACTTCCAGGCAGCTGCTTATTGGTACAATTGGGGATCAGGTTAGGTTTACTAATTTTTTGTCTAAATATCTTTGGCCTTCCTATAGCAACTCTACTATTATTCATTTGGATAAGTTTGAACTTTCTCAATTGTTGTGCATCTCTGTTATGCTTTAAATGCAATTTCAAGAAGACACTTTTGTTAGCCTTTTCCAGGGAGACCCATGATTTTAGTTTCCTTGACTACATATCCATTTAATGCTCCATCTATTGATATAATTCAGGTTTTGGCACTTGACAAGCGTTATCTAGATCCTCGAAGAACAGTGAACCCTACTCAAGCTGAAAAAGAGGAAGGGATTATACCTCTTACCGACACATTGCCAATTATGCCACAGGTGAGAACTTTATTTTTGAACTTCTGATAAGGCAAAGATGGAGTTTTCTTGAGCAAAGAAAACTTGCATATCTTTGAGGCCAATATTTGATAGGCAAGTAGAACATGCCATATGTATATCTTCTTGGTAAAGAAGTAACATATTTGCTTCAATTAAAGTGATAGGTTGGTTGAATCTGTATCTCGAGGTCTCTATATGTACACTTGGTTATACTTTACTTTGGGTAATCCCATTATTTTCACTGTGTTGCCTGACCAAGTGTATCAAAGGCTAAAGGCCAAACTTTCACTAACCATCATCCAGCTTTCCAATCTCATGGTTCGGTTAAGATGGCATTCACATTCATCATGTTGGTCTAGATAGAAGTGCGTTGTTTTCTGATTATCCTCTTGTGTAAACAGAGCCCAAGCAATTGGTACTGAATGTGCGTCTAGATTAGGGACCTGATTTTGAGTACTCTAGTTGCACTTTGAGGAATGACTAGAGTTTCTTTGAGACATCCTTCTTGCTGAAAATTGTATCTAAAATCAGACGAGACACACAGTCTAGCAACCATTTCGCAGGTTCACTAATGCAGCCAGTTTGACTAGTCAAAATCATTACATCATAATGAAATTTATGATCTGTATAAAAAATGAATAATCATTCACAAGGTATAACAATGCAATGTATATAAGGAAAAAAAAGTTAAAAAATAAACGCTGGAGCACCTTGTATTGCAGCTAATATGACTTGGCAAACATTGCTAGAAATGAAAGAAGTCTTGCAAATGTTTATAGCATAAAAAGGAAAGAAAACTCTTCTCGGTTAATGTATTACATCACTCTTTCATTAGAACAATTCAGACTTTGCTAGTTTGTGTGGTATATGCATGCATTTGACATCTTTTGTAGGAAATTATTCAACAAATTAAAAAAGAAATTTCAAGCTAGTAAATAGACTCCTTCACAGTGATGTTACATAGATTCATTTTACATATTTTATAGTAAAAGAAATATCAAGATATATACATCTTTCACAGTGATGGAACATGGATTTTTCTTTGACGATATCAGAGTAAGCTTTGATGGTCTATGTGCCAATGATGATAGAAAGATGGGATTCCTAGAAAGATATCTTTTGTAGGAAAGATTTTTCGATGTATTACATCTTAATTTCCAACATATACTGGTTGGAAGAACTTTTTTGGCCCTTCAAGCTTCTCTATATACCTGACTGTATAATAAATACAACATGCTGGCTTGCATTTACTAATTCAGGCATCTCAGAAGTTCTTTTCTGATCCTTGTTTACATCTGAGATAATTATCGATGTTGGTTCTTCATATTGATTTTGATGGTTACTCCTGCAGGCTTATGTCACACATGCCCTTAAAGTGGAAGGCCTTAGAAACATAATAACTGTACCAGCAAAGCTGGAGTCGACCACCCTTGTCTTTGCTCATGGAGTGGATCTCTTTTTCACTCGGCTCGCTCCTTCAAGAACCTATGACTCTCTTACTGAAGATTTCAGTTATGCTTTGCTTCTCATCACGATAGTTGCCCTTGTTATAGCAATTTTTGTAACATGGATTTGGTCTGAGAGGAAAGAGTTAGAGGAGAAGTGGCGGTAACTCAAGTCCATATGCTACCCCACTGTCTTCTGCCCTGTAATTTTTAAGTCCTAACCTTTTCTTGTTGCTTATTTCATCATAGATATAGATAGGAAGTTAGGGGTAGGCTGTTTATCTGTTATTTATCAGGTAAAGATAATTTGTAACAGAAACCTATCTTTACACATAACTAGGTTGTCAGCAGTGCCATTTTGTGATGACAAGCACGTGGTTGACATAGAAACTCTTTCTTGTATGGCATGATGAAGCTAAAGGGCTTTGCATTTTGTTAAATGCTTTTGCAAAGACTCAAACTTAGTCGACTATCATGCACTGAAATTGTGTTCTCTTTATTGAACTCTGGTTTTATGGGAACATTGTCCCCCGGGTTTCAAGCCTTCTGCTCACCATGTCTCAATTTCTGTGCTATGCGTAAACCCATGTCTAATGATACAGGCAGAATATGTTAGAAGAGAGGCATTGGCTGCTGTGTTTTAGCTGCCTTTTTAGCCTTGTTCAAGGGATGCGCCCTATGCATATTTGCTATTTTCTGAGAACTACTTCCAGATAATTTGACCAAAGTACTGAAAGTTGAAATTGAAACACTAATTCTTGAAAAATAAGTCATGTGCCTGTACAATAACAACAAATCCAGTGTAATCCGGGAGGGTAATGTGTATGTAACCTTACTCAAGGTAGAGAGACTGGGGAGGGTAATGTGTATGTAACCTTACCCAGGTAGAGAGATTGTTTCCAATAGACCCTCGGCATCAAGCTTTAAATTAATAGCTTCTTAAACTGTCAATACTGAATTTTTTTTTTTTTTTTTTTTTTTAATCTTAGTCATGATTTTTAAAGTACCATAAAGGCAAAAACCATTGTCGAAAACGTTTATCACAGATCATTACCAATTTACCACCATTGTCTTTTGACCTAGTTTGTCTTCTTTTTTCTATATTAAGTTTTTGCTAGTCGCACTTCAAAAAGAAGGGAAAAAGAAAAGAAAGCTATAACGTAAAGGTGATCGTTATTTCATATCAATTAAACATAAAGCTTTGGAGCAACTTTGGTATATGCATTATCGATTCAGTTCAGCACATTGGTTACTGGTAGAATTAATCTGAATTTATAACTCTTTCAATTTTGTTCCTAGTTTTGCATATTCACTAATTAAGAACTACGTGAACTTTGGCTTTCTGCAATTCATGAGGAAACCATCATTCGTCAAATCAATAAATATATTTTATAAAACACACGCCTAAAAGCATCGTTAAGGTAAAACTTACAATGTAAACATAAGTCAAAAAGTAATATAAACCCTTTAATCTCTATGCAAAATGTTAAACAACTACAAACATCACAAAACCAGTTCATCGACATCAGGCAAAGGAAACCTCAAAATTGCAGCAATTCCTGTCAATTGAGCAAGTCTTTGTCCTACATCTTGATTAAATTGGACCACTTTCCCACCAGCTTTCTTCACTGATTTTTCCATTCTCAAGTACTTTTGCCTCATTTTATTGTCCTCATTTCTCAAAATTTCTTTAGTAATTAAAAGGGTCTCAATTGCCATCAACTCATGTGCATATTCCACATCTTTTGTACCATAACATGCCCTTTTAGAATTCGTCGATACCATATTCATAAATTCATCCAAAACCTTTATGTCAATTTCACTCTTCGTATTCTTCATCATACTCATCACAACCTTATCATGCAAAATTTCCTTCACATTATTTTTATTCACTAAGAGTATACGCGACTTGTTATTCTCTATTGATTTTATCTTCGACCTATGTGCCTCTAATAATAAGTAAACTCGAAATTCATCTTTTATGGACTCACAACTCGCAATAACCACATAAGGAATAACATCCATATCGATATGCTTCCTAAATGAAACGAAAATATTCTCGAAAAAACTCTTAGAACCCGAGTTATTAGTAATTTTATCACCTTGTATTGTTGCACAATGACTTGTTGCACTTTGTCTAATCAAGAAAATCTGAGCCAATCCTTCCTTCATTAAAATAACAGCTAAATCAACCTTTGAACCACCATTTGGATCGGATCCATCTTTTAATATTCCTATTGTTTCTTCATCCCAAAGCTTCTTCATGAGATTGAATTCTTTGTTTTTTCCTAACTCCAACGTGTGAAAAACTCCTGACTTGACATGATCGTTCGACGTTATTGTCTTGCCACGAACACGAATAATGGAACAACTTTTGTCATAATCAAAACTTGTGATTCTGATTTCGAGTTCAAGTTTTACCCTTGATGTGTTTTTTTTGTCTGAACAAGTTTGGATTTTTCTTGTGGTAGGGGCAGAAATTATGTCACCATTGGCAATAAGATTGTACAAAAACCATAAATCATCTGGTTGTTCTGGGATTATGGTGATTGTACCTGGTTGATTGGGAACTAATTTTTGACCTAAAAGCTTCATCGTGTTTAATTTTGTGAATGTTTTTCTTCTTCTTGTGTTTTGTGTTTGTTATTATACGGTTTAAATAGGTGTTAAGTTGACGATTTAATTTCCTTATTACTGTGGGATTGGGGTTGTTCCGTATTTTCCTTTTTTGTTCGGTTTATGATTTCTAATAGCACACTTTCCTTCATATTGTGGGATTAAAGTTTACGCTTCCCTAAAGAAATTAAGAAAATTAGGGCTATGACTTAAATATGAAATTAAAGAAGAATTTTAAAATTGTTATAAATAGTATTTTATTTATGGTGAATGTTTATATTTTAGAGAGATTTTAGGGTTTGTTACTTGGTGGCTAAGTCATTTTTCCCCTATAAATAAAAGGATTCTATTCCATTGTAATTAATCCCAAATCAATAAGAATTTTCTCGGCAATATTCTTCTTCTCCTTTTATTGTTTCATAACACGTTATCAACACGATACTCTAACAAATTGAGTAGAGGTATCTGCTTTGGTCACCAGGCTTTGGAATACGTGTGTGATGCTCAACTTGTACATAATATTAAGTATAATAATTGTCAATTGTTCCATGAACTACCTTCAAGAATAACTTCTGGATTTAAGGTAAGTATTTTACCTTTTTTCTTTTTTAAATTCTTGAAATTTCATAATTTGATTTTAAATACAAGTAAAGACAATAAATTTTGATTATAACTCTAATAGAGTTTGTGAGAAATTATAACCACCTGAAGTGGTAAAATTTCTATGTCTTGCCATGATCAAATTCATGTATGATTATGAGCACAAGAAGTGGAAATCCGTCCCATTGAATTTGCTTCATTCTCGTTCCCTTAAGAGAATGTGGTAGCAATATGCAATAAGTCCGAAAGAAGATAAAATTATTACCGTGAAGGTATCAATGGATATGGACGTGGCAATTGACGAAATTATAATCGTCATCATTGTGGTAATGAGAATAATAAGGATTCTCAAAATATCCTTCACTTTGTGAAAGTAATATTTGTCATCGATTTGACTTGAAGTTTTGTAAAGTACATATAGATGACTATGGTCAATTCATGATGTGAATGTGATAACATGTGATTTATGAATACATATTCATTCTTGGAAGAATATGAACATGCTAGTGGTAGTGAATATACCACACTCACCTCTAGAAAGAGGTTTGAGATGCTATAAGAAAATAATGTCATTATTATGTCATGAATGGTCATTGGTTACGTACCTATTGTACGCCAAAATATTTTGGTAATGTGATTTATTAAAGAATAACAGTAATGCAAGAAACGGATTTTGCATATAATTTTGACCATGACTATAATGGTATAACTTTCTTTTTAAAAAAGATATTCACCATATGGATGTTGATGAATATGGGGTAGTACCAAATTAATTGAGAGCTCTAGAAGAGCCAATTATTACTATTTTGGAGGAATAAAATTAATTATCAATAAGGTATTATGTTGTAGTAAGTCTCAAAGAAACTTATTGAGTTTCTAAAGTATTCGTGAAAGCGGATGGTTATATTGAGACTATAAATAATTAGAAGATTTAATATCTTTATATTACTATAACTGTAGCGGGGTAATATGTTTATGAAAACTATCCACTTTATTGCTTGATTTGTACTATATAAATATAAAATATGGTGAAATTACATGACGCAATAAACTAGAAGTTTATTGATATAAAAACCTATATCGTAATGAACTTGGAGTTTATTGGTAATTGCACACGTCATGGTGTAAACCTAATGTTTATCAATATTGATAATTTATCTGGTTGGCTTAACTAGTTTAGTCATATCAATTTAAGTATGATGTGCAAAAATAAAAGAGAATTCACATGGGTAAATATTAAAGAACTAGAAAGTTCTTTATGAATTCTCTTATGTTGCTCATTCTCATTAATTAATAGACCAACTAAAATTGAGATTGAATCCCATAAATGCTACAAATATCAAAGGTGAATATGGGCTCGTTTACTTGTCATGTATACCACATAAGATGCATCTATGAGATGGTTACATGTGCGATTATTACTAACCCGCAATATGGTGTTTGCGAGGTAACTTGCTTATTAATTTAATTTAGAGCATAATTTTCAGATTTTCTATTTAACACAGTTCATCTTGATAAGTTAGTTTACATCATATTTGATTTAGCAAAATAATTTATTGAATACCTCCAGTTAATAGCTAAATTGTTGCTTATGAGAACAAAGTTATCTATATCAGTTTGATATAGACTATATACGAAAGTATATTACATTATCCCATCATAAGTGGTTCAGGGTCAGGAACCAAATAATTTCATTTTATTATTATTGATATGCGTTTGATTAACACCATAACGCACAAAGATGGGTTCCCAAAGTTGAGGAAGCAAGTTAGTTTTTCTAACATAAGGGGGAGAGAGGATAGACAATTGAGAAAAAGTTACGTGGAATGAATTATTATTTGTATATCTAGATCCTCGAATAACATAATATGAACTTGAAGTTCATAAAAAGATAATTCATCTGCAATATATTGCAAAGCATGCCAGACACATTTTGCTGACCCAAAGAAAGTAACTATATTCTCACTAGAAATGCTTCAATAAGAATAAGTCCTAGAAGGACAAAGTTTATGGTACACTTAAAACGTATAGACAAATCAGTTTTAAATAATATTCTTGATAATGAAGATGAGCAAATGATCAAAATGATCATAACAAGGAGGCAAGTGATCTAGAAGATCACGTGACATAACACTTCATAAAATCTCACGAGAGGTTCAGGTACCTGAAAATATGAATGAAGAGATCTCTATGTTATATCTTTATTAAAAAAAAGGAGGTTGGAACCGATATAAAATATTCATCGACGACATCTATGATAACACTAAGTATAGATGAGGATCTTAAGTTTGTCAAATACAGACACAAAAATATTGGCCAAATGAAAGACACACAATTCGAATAGAATTGATTTCATATGAAAGATATGTAGTTTTGGACATGCAGTTCAAACACTTGAAAGTATAAAGTCAATGGTGTGTGCAATTACTTTTATCTATCTTATATGTCTAGCATAACATAAAAACTTGATATGCATCTAAAGTCTATTCATATGGCTTATATGACTTAACTTATATGACAATCCCTGAAGGATTTAAATTGCTTAAAGCATATAGAATTCTTGGTCATGAAGTACTACATCCTAAGTGCAATTTGTGCACATATATATCTTGCTATAACTATAAGCATGATAATACGATAGTAAGAGTCTTTACCCCTATGTGAAGATATTGAAATGATGATTCTAACAAGATCATATGAAGACAATACATCTTACGATAGTAAGAGTCTTTACCCCTATGTGAAGATATTGAAATGATGATTCTAACAAGATCATATGAAGACAATACATCTCTATCAAGAATGATGATTTCAAGATGAAACAAATTCGTTCAGGTTAATATGGCTGATTTGTTTATCAAATCTATACTAACAATTTTTGAAGATGGTGCACAAGATTGGGATACAAAGACTCAAATATCTGAATTGATGTTCTCATCAGGGGGAGTTAATACGTGTTGTAATCTTTTTTCCTTATAATGTTTTGTCTCATTGGGTTTTCTTTGCAAGGTTTTTAACAAGGCAACCAAACGGCGTATTTCTAAACATGTGTACTCTTTTTTTTTTTCTAGAATTTTTTCCCACTGAGTTTTATTTTAGTTAAGGTTTAAACGAAGCACATTGTCTGGTGAATAGACATTCAAAGGGGAGTGTTATAAATAGTATTTTATTTATGGTGAATGTTTATATTTTAGAGTTTGTTACTTGGTGGCTAAGTCACTTTTTTCCTATAAATAGAGAGATTCTATTCCATTGTAATTAATCCCAAATCAATAAGAATCATCTCTCTCTACTTTTCTCTGCAATATTCTTCTTCTCCTTTTATTGTTTCATAACAAAAATGATATATCCAAAGCTCGTTAATTAAGGAGTTGGGTACATTAACATTTATATCAAAATTGCACCTTTTCCTCAGTTATTGGTCACTTCTCATTTTGGTCCTTACAATAATTCAATATACATATTTAATCATGAATTAATTACAAAATGTATTATTTGTCTCTTACATAGGAAATATGTTATATCGGATGGCACAACAACACCATAACAAATATACTTACCGATAACATACAACAAGAGCGACCTAGCTACAAATTTATGAAAAAATAAATAATTTAACAAATAATTTTGAAGACTCACAAGCAAAATGGTAAGGAGAACACTCCATGCTAAATCTTGGCACTCACACAAGGTGGCTAATATCCAGAACAGGAAAGCTGAAGGTCATGCATAACTTCAGAGAAGAAAATGAAGTAGCTCACTTGTTAGCTAGGGAAGTAGCCTACGAGACCAACATCAATAAACCTATTTATTTAGAAATACCACCTCCTTTTGTTATGACAAGGATGGTGGCAGACAAAAACAATGCTACCTTTGTTAAGCATGTAGTAGACGATGCTTGTAAGATGTTGGCCAAACTTGGCAACTGTAATGCCCTTGAGGGTATTAGTATTTTGTGTAACAGTGTGAAAGCACCTTAGTATGTTCTAACAAAAGTTCCAGATTCTAAAAAAATGGTAAGGAAAAATATAGGGACAGATTCATTATACTCAGTTTTGAAGGTTGCAGATGGTAAAAAAAGAGTTGACACCATACATAATCATATAAAAAATAAAAATTATTTTTTAAAATAAAAATATCTAACTATGTAATACGCTTGCTCATCATGCCAAAACACCCTAAATTTAAATTTACATTTATCAATCACTGGTAACACATTACAGATTCAAAAATTCGTATCAATTCGTTTAAAAAATTATAAAATTTCTTAATCTAGACGGGCCAGTTCTAAATATTCAGCGACTTGGGCCCTCGGCCCACGCTATTTAATATGTGGAGTATATACAATTTCACAATAGTAATATTAGGAAAATCTCTGA